ACAGGAGCACTTCCTAATATTCCATTCTGTATTGATCAACCATTGTTCTTCCTCTGACTTTCTTAACATCATTAAACATGTTTTCCACTTGAAATCAAAGATTTTCATGGGTGAAATTGGGATTTTTGGGTAGAACTTAGGTTTTCTTAAAATTGGGGATTTGGACCTCCATTTGAGGTCCGATTTCAAAACAAAACATAGATATGAACTCGTGGGGGAATGGGTAACCGGGTTTGGTTCGAACCTCGGGTTTTGACCACGTGGGCCCGGGGGCATTTTTGGATTTTTTGGGAAAAACTTGGGAAAATCATTTTTATGCATTCAAATTGATTCATATAGTGTTTATTAAAGTAATTGAACAATTTGTGATTAGATTCGAGCGAATTGGAGGTGGAACCGCGAGGTAAAGCGATAGTTGAGGATTAAGTGGATTTCAAGGCTTTGAGGTAAGTGTTTGATCTAACCTTAGCTTGAGGGATTAGGAGTTGTGTCCTATTTGTTATGTGTTATTTGTCGAGTACGACGTATAGGCATGGTGACGAGTATCTATACGTTGGTGTCAAGCATGCCCGTGAGTCTTATACTTTGATTAATGTGACTCCGTTTGTCTATACTCTATATGATAATTTCTATTGAGGAATATGACTTGTGGAAGTATTATTGTTAATTGAGATTGAAGTGTTGAACATTATAGAGCATTGGCTCAAGTTGAGAATTTAATTGTGGAACATCATAGAGCATTGACTCAAATTATATTATGAAAATGTGAAAGCAAGTGGGTTGATTGAACCCTTGGAGCGTTGGCTCAAATTAAAATACGAATTGTGAAAGGTTATGAGATAATCGTACACTTTGGAGCATTTGGCTCAAGTGTTAGAGTGAGTTATGAAATGAAAGTGGAAGAAAGAGAAAGAAGTATAAATTGTTCCCTTGCCGGGATATTATTATTTTGATATTATTTTCCCTTGCCGGGGTTTGATTGTTGTACTATTGTTCCCTTGCCGGGATATTATTGTTTTGATATTATTTTCCCTTGCCGGGGTTTGATTGTTGTACTATTGTTCCCCTTGCCGGGATTTTAATGTGATTTCATTTATTTCCTTGCCCTTATTTCTTGTGATTGTTGTTTGGGTGAGGAAGAGTGATAAAGCACGAAGGGTCATTCCGTGCCATATTTTGATTATATTTGCACGAAGGGTCATTCCGTGCCATGTTTTGATTATATTTGCACGAAGGGTCATTCCGTGCCATGTTCTGACTATATTTGCACGAAGGGTCATTCCCTGCCATGTTATGAGAGTTATGTGAGGAAAAGCACGAAGGGTGATGCCGTGCACTTTATTTGATTGCTTTTGGTGAGGATGAGAGTAAAAGCACGAAGGTTGATGCCGTACAAGTGTTGTTTTCCTGCTTTGTTAATTATTGTGGTTCCCTGTTTCTTACTTAAGTTGATGACTTCTATATCCGGATTGTACTCCCCCATAGCATGTTTCCCTCCCCTTTTAACTGTTTAGTTTCGGTATTTCTTTCCTTTTATTGCATATATATATATATATATATATTGAACTGCGCAGGTTGATTTGGTAGTCCTGTCTAGCCTCGTCACTACTTCGCCGGGGTTAGGCCAGGCACTTACCAGCACATGGGGTCGGTTGTGCTGATTCTACACTCTGCGCTCTTTTTGCGCAGATACAGGTTTCGAACAGCATCAGCAGTAGTAGTGTGAGTGTTCGCATTCCGACCATCGAGACACCGAGGTAGCCTTGCAGGCGTCCGCAGGACCCGACGTCTCCTCTATCTTTATTTTCATTCTGTTATCTCATGTATTCGAGACAAACAGTTTTATATTTCTTTCAAACGGTTGTGTTTAGTATTCTTAGAAGTTCGTGAGTATTGTGACACCAGTTCTTGGGTAGTGAATTATGTTTGGATTTCTGTATCGCATCTAGTAACATTTACTAAGTCTTCCGCTAAATTAAATTTATTCCGCTGTAATCATATTATTATTGCTAAATGTTTTAAAATAAGAGTTGAAAAAAAAAATGGAAAGATAAGTAAGAGTTGGCTTGCCTAGCTCCCACTAGTAGGCGCCATCACGACTCCCGATGGTGGAAAATCCGGGTCGTGACATTTTGTTGGCGTAAAAATTCAATAAATGGTCTAGACTTCTCACAATCACAAGGCTCTGGAATCAAAGACTCAAATTCATCCCACAAGTCTTTTAGGTTTGAGATGTATACTGATACACTAGAAATTCCCTGTACCAACGAGCTAATCTCCATATTCATATGATAATTTTTTTTTGCATTTACCTTATCAAATCTGGTTTTCAACACAATCCAGACTTCCTGTGCATTTGAGGAGAATACAATACCTTTTCTAAGTTCCTTTGCCACCGAACTCATTATCCACGACTGAACAATTGCATTGCATCGATCCCACTGACGCAATTGGAAGGCATTGTTAATGTACAGATCTCTGGTACATGTTCCATCAATAAACCCCAATTTGTTCTTCCCAAGGAGTGACATCTTCATAGATCGACTTCATTCCGAGTAATTTTCAGTTCCTATGAGCAATTGTGGAACGATCTGTAAGCCAGGTGTATCGGAGGGATGTACATACAAAGGATCATTGCAATCAATATTTTGATTGTTTGCATGTGAAGATTCAGCTGTGTTATCCACTGTATTGTTCGCCGTTGAAGACAGTTTTCGAAATTTTAGGGCTCAAAATTGAGCTTGAGAGGTAAATCTGAGAGAAATCGAAGAAGAAAGAGAGGAATTTTGAATTTTGAAGATCGGAGTCCCTCAATCAGAATCGCCAAGCACCATGGCTCTGATACCATGTTAAAGCTAGCCACAGGGAAGCCATTGGAGAGCTCCAAGCTGTTAGTGAAGAAGAGGAAGATTCTAGAGAGAGAAAAACTGTGTGATTCTCCTTCAGACTACTAACCGTATGTACATTAACTGTGCATATATACTAATGCACCCAACTAACTAACTAACACTTTACACATGTGCTAAATAACTATTCTAGCTACTTCTAGAAGTGTACATGTTAAATAGCTTACTGTACAAACACTAATCTTTACATAACTTTGATATGATAATTTTGTATTCTATTTTTAAACTATTATGTTAGTATTCATATCCTCTTTTTTAAATTTCACAAAAATAAATACATTTTTATTTATCTTTACGAATTAAATTTTAATATACATTTAATTACAAATATACCTAAAGAGAGTGTACGTGTAGGATTTTTATAATATAGGAGGTGTCAGAGTTTAAATTTAAAATACAAAGGGGTGTATTCGAAACTGAATCGTATTATAGGGGGTGTTTAGTATAATTAACCCTACTACGGATAAGTAATATTGATATTTAAATCTTTGCGCTTAGTTAAATTCCGTCTTGTAAAATGAAGTTCATACTCACTGACAATGCAACATTTTAAAACCCTATTATAGTAGGTAATTTCATTATAGTTTGAATTGCTTATCCTATCTTTTATAAAAGGTTACATATAATTATCAATTAGATGATGTGAGCGTGCATAAATTCATTAATAATATCTTTGTATAAAAGTTAAATTCTAGTATAATCTATAACATTATAGAGGGATGGAGTACTATTAGTCAATTTACCAACGATGGTTGTGGTGGAGTGGTAAGTACTCCTTCATCCTTAATCAAAGGTCTCGGGTTCGAGTCCTGGGTATGGAGTCGCCTTTGTTAGGGAACGCTTTACCTCCAATGTGGGACTTCCCGACGCGAATACAAATTTAGTCAGGCTCAAATGCGGATATCGAACAACGGGTGGGAAGCCCAAAAAAAGAAGTACTATTAATTTCTAAATGAGAAGCAAAAAGGGGGGATTTGTAACCGTAACCTATATTTGTGCCACCTTTTAACCTGTACCCTATTTTTAAAAATTATTGATTTGGTAGCCAGCTGACAAAAAATTCATAATAATATGACAATTACACCCCTGACAAAAGATATAAAACCTGCATCGCGCATTAATCGCGTGATCTGCAACCTCATTCGTGAAAAAAGATCTCATCCTCTCCTCTCAGCAACTTTATTAAAAAATTAGAAACTTATCCAAATTCATCTTCAGAATCACACTTGCATGAAGTTGTTTCACGTTGATGCTAATGTAGCATGAAGTTGTTTCATGTTGAAGCTAAAACTTCATGCTAATATAGCATGAAGTTGTTTTACATTGAGGCTAAAACTTCATGCTAATGCATGCTGAAGTCATATATCCTGCAGTCTACAGATTTGTCATGAGTTTAATCCGAAATTTCAGTCTAAACATGTTTAAGTTTTTTAGTTCATTTGCTAAAACTTTAGTCTAAACATGCTTAAGTTTTTAGTTCATTTGCTATTCATCCTAAACATGCTTAAGTTTTTGTCCCGTAGTTAGTCAATAGTCTTTTATTAAAAAAGGGTGAAATCATCTTTTTAGAATGCTTTTAACAAAAAAATGAGTATAAATGCAAACGAAAAAACAAAACTAAGTATAAATTAAAAGGGGACATCCCATTCCGCGTCTTCTATGTCGGCCTCTAGCTACTAGCTAGGAAAACTCACCGCCGACTGACAAAACGAACTCCTAAAGCGGCTCTAATTTTTTTCTCTCTAAAATATTCTTATCCACATATAATAGATCTCCCTTCACACTTACTAATGCCACTGTCCTTTATTCTCTTCACATTTTGTCCAAAAGAAATTATGACAAGTCAACAAATAAAAAAGAATGTTTTCATCAACAAGATTAATATCTCCTTCTTACACAATAGGAGTAGAGCTCAACTTGAAGAGAAGAATACAAATTAAGGAATTGCTGATTAGCTGACTAGCCGACTCTATATTCTTGTCTTTATTATTTTACAAAAAAAGTTTGACTTTACTTTTTTGTTTTTTCTGTTTTAAGTAAATTTTCAACTACCAACTTGGGTTAGACTAATTCTCACTCTCTCTCTATATATAACGGTTGGTTCAAGAAAGCCTAAAAAAGAGGGAGTTGGTATTAGTTTGTTCATCTTGTCAACTTTCTTGAAAAGCAAAGGTTTTTAATAATTTTTTTTTTCTCTTTTTGAATCTTGAAGTTTAATACAAACTTCTCATATTAATTGTTAAGACTTTTTAGTTAGTAGAGTATACTATACTAGCTATATACTAGATTAACTTTTTTGGTGAAGTTATTACATGTGTATGCTCAAGGTGGCGAATTTTAGAAACAAAGCCAATTACAAGCCAATAAGAGATGATGAAGCTGGGAATATTAATGTGATGTTTTCTGGGATTAATAGAGAAGAGGAGATGTCTGTCATGGTTTCTGCACTGACACGTGTCGTGAGAGGTGAAGATAAAGTACTTAATCAAGGAGATGGTGGTGATGTTGCAGCTAATAATTGGAATAGTAATATTGGTGCTGGTGTTGGAGAGAAAAGGGAACGTGAAGACCAAAGTGAGCAGCTGTTCTTGTCTGATATTAGGTCATCAGGTATGCAAATCTATCAGAAGTAAATTGCTGCAACTCATTTTTCATTATATAGTTGGTTCTTTTTCTTAAGCCGAGAGTCTATTAAAAATACTCCTCTATCTCTACAAGGTCTGTGTAAACACTATTCTACCTAGATTCTATTATATGAGATTACACTCGGTATATATATATATAGTCGTTATATATAGCAAACTCCAACTTATAGTTAATTTGGAATTGATCACTCTAATTAGTTGTCATTGCATTTTACTACCACAATGACAACTAGATGCGCAATTCCAAATTCAAAATTGTAGTGTAACGTGTATCCTCCCCTGTTCCGATCATGGAATAGGTTAAATAAATCAAATTAGTTGGAGTTTACTGTATAAATTCTTAATATAGATCATGTCGTTTCATTTGGAACGTCATCTAGAAGTTCTTCATATTTTCTTCTGACATGAATATCTCTAAATAAATATAAAGACAACAAACAATATACCCAACGTAAATACGCCATTAGTCGATATTGTTTGTGTAAATCTATTATTTTTATTGTGTTTTAATTTAATTCGTTACATTTGCATGAATTGTGAGAGATTGTACGCTTAGTCCTTTAATTTATGATGAATAACTTTCCTTCTCGCTCTTTTCACTACTGCACTTCTTTTAAACATTGTTATAATTGTGCCTTCATTGAGTCGATAGTCTATCAAAAACAACCGCTCTACCTTCATAAGATAGGGGTAATGTTGCGTAATAGCCTCCCGAGACTTACTTGTGAGATTACACTGAGTTTGTTGTTGTTGTTGTAACTCCCTTTCTCCTAATATTTTTTTTTCATGGAATGCATTATGTTAATAGGTGGAGAAAGTTCAAATATTAGGACTATTGCCAGCAACACACCAACAACAGAATCAACATTCATATACCTTACTCCCACATATGAAGAAGGAAATATTAATCATCAACCAAGAAGAAGATATAGAGGAGTTAGACAAAGGCCATGGGGAAAATGGGCAGCAGAAATCAGAGATCCATATAAAGCTGCTAGGGTTTGGCTTGGCACTTTTGACACTGCTGAAGATGCTGCTAGAGCTTATGATGAAGCTGCTCTTAAATTCAGAGGCAGCAAAGCTAAACTCAACTTCCCAGAAAATGTTAAACTCATGCCTACTTCTTCAACTCACGAACAATCACCATTGAAGTTATTCCCGCATCAGAATGCTGTCAGTAATCTGGGATTTCCCACTAGCACATTTCCAACGGATTACGTGGAAAATACACGTGTTTCATCCTTTTCTAGTAATTATCCTATAATTCACACTCAACCTAATTCTAATAATACTAACATAAACCCTCAAATTTTCCTGAATGATGATTTTCAATGGTTACAACCACCTTCAAGTTTGTTAAACCAATTCCAGTACTCGTCATCTTCGTCGTCGTCGTTGTCTTCTTCTTCTTCTCAACTGCCTTTTCTTCCAAGAATGTCTTTTCAAGGTTCCAAGCCTACTAGTCAGAGTAGTGGAAGTGATTTTCGGGCTACTTCGTCGGATTCAACTTATGATCATCCTTCTTCTTCTTCAAGATAATTTAGTAGCTAGGTTTTTTTATTTGTCACTTCAATGTGATTCTTGAATGGATTGTGAATCAGAATCGGGTTGCAATTTGCATAGTGATCGGTCTAGATGAGCAAGGTCCACTTTTCTTATTCTGGTAATTTTGTTGGGATATATCTTGAGTGAGACCTTATCTGGAAATTTCTTCTTGTAACAAGGAAGAACATAAAAAGACGATGATTGATGATGATGAAACGAATATCAGAACAATGTATCTTTCATCTTAGTTTATGTGACAGTATTTCCTAGGGTACTACACCAAAAAATAAATTTTTAGTCAAAGCTAGAATTTAGAAGAATACGGGTTACTGATAATCAGAAAAGTATGTAGAGAAAGAAATTTGTGAATAATATGATCAGAGCAAGTAAATCAAAGTATATTCCAATAGTGTTTTCTTGTGTCTACAATTGTTTGTTCCTTCCCCTTTTATAGCTATTTTGGGGATACGAGCCTTGTGAGCATGTGATTTTTGCCTCGCATGAATTACTCCTACAGATTTCTTAGATTTAGGATTTTTTGCTTTTTAATTTGTAGGAATTAATTGCATAATTTTCATGTTTATTTGCAGTTTTAATTTAACACAAATTCATAAAAAAAATACAAAATTACGCATTGCATTTGCATTTAGGAATTAGGGTTTTACAAAAATACAAAAATCACAAAAATTGATTTATTTGCTTTGTTTAACTTTAGCTTTGAATTTTGTTCAGTTTTCATTTAAATTGGTATTTAATTAATTTGTGTTGATTATTAATTAGAACTTAATATAGTTGGGTAGGTTAATTTAGTTTTAGAGTTAATTTAGATCTTAGTTTTAATTTGAAGGAAAAAGAAAAGAAAATGGAAAGAAAAATAGATTCCTTAATAAAAGACCTGAACTTGGGCCAAATCCACCTCAAACCCCCTTTAAATCAATCCAGGCCCCAAGCTAAAGCCCCAAATTCGGCCAAAATGGCCCAAATCCATACCCCTACCCGGTCCAAACGATCATGCCCTTGAGACTAATAAAACGACGTAGTATAGGAGGGATACTACGTCGTTTTGAATTAGTGCCAAATCAATCCAAGCCATCCATCCACCCCAATCCGACGGCCCATAATTCTCCTTGATTTTGAATAATACTGTCTGAAATATGTGAAAACCCTAGAGACCAGAAATCCCCTCCTCGTACCCTGTTCGACACCACCGCGTCTTCGCCGTCCCCCACCGTCCGCCGCCGGCCGGAAATCGCCTCTGCCGGCGGCGATTCTCCAAACGATCCCAAATTCACACCACACCTTCCTCTTCATCTCCCCAGTGCATATCTGGACTTATTTTCTTCCAAATCTCATCCCAACTATTCAAATAACTCAAACCCTAGCGCCTCCACCGCCGTGTGCGGCGGTGCCACCTTCCAAACCACTTAAAAATAACACCCTGAACTTTCCTCGCTTTCCTCTTCTTAAATACTTGTTTATCTTCTCTCAAATATTCCTTTAATGCCTCGAATTTCAGATCGAAAGTTCGTCCAGAACCCTAATTTTATAAACTTGAGGCTTATTGAGGTCTAGGCTATAATAGCCTTTAATTATATGTTTTCTCATGAATACACATAATTAAGGACGATTATAATCCATTTAAATCCAAGAAAACTCATCAGACTTGAATTAGTCAAATGAAGGCCAAGTCAGTAAGTTCTTTCTTCCTTGTTCGATTATATCTTTTATGGTTGATTCTGTTCTCGTGATTTTTTTTTGGTCTTGTGTGATCCAATGTTTGTTTCTACTAGTATAGGTTTTAATTTTTACTGATTAGTTTAGTTAGATTTAATTTTTTGTTTATCCTTGCAGTCGTTCTTAGAGTTAATTTTGACATAATTTTGATTCATGTTTTGTGCTTGATTTCGATTAGTTGATCTATAGCTATTACTGTTAATTTGATTTTAACCCGGTTCGTTTTTTTTTTTCACTGAACAGTGTAGGTTATAAGTAGAATTAATGTGATTAGTTAAATTGATTTTTAGGATTGGTTTGGATATAGCTGAATACCCTAACCATTGACTGACTAACCATAGTTAGTTTGGGACTAAGGATTAACTGGGTTCAGGTTTAGTTTGTTGGGTTCAGTAATTTCAGAATAAATAAAAGGGTAATTTAGGCATAGAAAAGGGTAGTTTTATTAGGAATAGTAATTTTTAAAGTAGGGAAGGGATAGTATAGGAATTGTAATGGGTATAGGACTTTCTAGAATAGATTTTAGTATAGTTTTCAATAAAATAGGTGTAGTTACTTGGGTAACAAGTTTAAAAATAAGGGACTAAAAGCTGAAAATGAGAAGGACTAAAAAGAAAACAAAAAATCTGAAGGAAGCCTTAGGCTTTGCCTATAAAAGGCACACCCATTGCCTTGTTTAAGAAGTTTTTTCAGACCCTCTGAAAATTTCAAAAGTTTTGGGGGAGCTCTAAATTTCCCCCCCCAAGAAAACAATTTCTTCCCAATTCCAGATCTAAAGTTCAAAATTCAAAAGGAAAAACCAAAAACAATAGAAAACTAAAAAAAAACAAATTACTGTTCCATTAAGCTTTTAGGATCTCAACTCTAGCTACTGATTTACATCACTCTAGCTCAGTTCCTAGTCGTTGAGCTTCAGAGGTCCATTGATTGAATTTCGAGGCAGATTGTTGAGGATTCATAGGTCTACTGATCTAGCTAACAGTTTTCTGGAATTCCTGGTTCGAATTGAAGATCATCTGCATTTATTCAATTGTGTTGGTCGAATTTCTGCTTCCTGTTTGGTTTGGATTCTTCCTAGATTTGCTGTGCTAACTGAGCAACTACTAGATTTTGAAACTTTCCTGAGTGGCTGGTTCTGTTTCCTGAGTTCTGCCTACTACTGTTGCTGATTCTTACATTCTATTCTCCAGGTACACACTCTCAGACTGTGTTGATGTAATTTCGCCTGTTGAACATGAAATGAAGTTGAAGTTTATTTTCTGCCCTAGAGTTGCAATTTGAAAATCATATTAAGCCTAAGTAGCCTGTCTACTATTCGATTGGATATTCATAGTTGTGTTAACTGGACTGCAAATAGTTATATCTCATGCTCATATGAATCTGTTTTCTCGAGTTGAGTAGTAGCTGTAGTTAATTCCCTATTATCTGATTCATGTACTTGTTAAGCTCTAATTGTAGTTAATTTCATACCAAATCAATAGAACCGCTCGTGTTAGTTGATCTCTTGTCAGTTGGTTCGTGAATTGGTTTAAAAGCATGTTGATTAAGAGGTATTGTGTATTACAGGTGTGAGCACATTTAAATTTGTTAGTTTAGATGTTAGAGTTAAATTGGAGTGTTAACACATTTGTTCATCTTCTAAAATCAGAATAGCTTAGTTGTCCCCTTGAACGATTTAAGTGTCAAATTGGTATTGATCATTAGTAATAAGGTGTGCTTCAATTTAAACCTCGTTGTCAAAATTTGGCTATCACTTTTAATAAGATGTGGGAACTCGTTGGTAGAAAAATAAGTAGGATAAATAAGTAGACGTAGAAAAAAAAATAATTTTATAATCTGGGATACAGTACAACAATTGCACAAAACCAGTTTAATTACATTGGGGATTAATTGGACCACTTAGGTGTCCATTCAGACGTCAGTGTGTGCTTCTGCCCGGAATCGACCTCAGAACCATACTCTTCCGCTACAACCGGGCGTGAACAATGTCACTTGGGCCAATTTCTCCAGTAGTAGGCCCCAAAGTGTTGGGTCCTTTATATTTTTGAATAAATTGCAAAGCATGCTTCATTTATTTACTTCATAAGCTACTGGGCTTTAACTGTTTGAGAGTGATTCATAAGACTTTGATATTTTATCAATAATAACTAATTAGGGCATTTCTTTTATTTTTAGAGACAAAAATAAATAGAAATATCGTAGTTGCTTTAGGTTGGCCTTTAAATAAAAGTGAGATGAGCCTCGCCAAACGAAACACATAAATTGCGGGGCCCTCATTAAATGCTTTATTAAAATATTTTAAAAATTCGGGACATGCCATTTAGCGAATTTTCATGGCTTCCCGCAAAGATAATAATACGCTAGTCACTTTAGGCGCGAAATTTAATAATATTACTTTCCTAAACTCGGGTGCGCATTTCATGCAACCCAAATCCAAATCCCAAAACGCTGAATAAGAGGTGTTTAGGATCCGGGTGCATTTCATGTGACGTGATCCAAAAAACACGCTCTTAAACGGCGTTCACTTTCGTAAAAACAAAATAAACTAAAAGTGGTAAATAATCTTAAAATTGCACTATAGGTTTAAATATGTATAAAAACTAGATTTTAGCCATTTATGATAATTTAAGCGACCGTGCTAGAACCACGGGATCCGGCGGTGCCTAACACCTTCCCCCGGGTCAACAGATTTCCTTACACAGAATTTCTGGTTCGCAGACTCCAATTGGGAAGTCGAAATTTTCCTCGATTTGGGATTTAAATTAAATCGGTGACTTGGGACACCAAAAGCCAATCCTATCCCAAGTGGCGACTCTAAAAATAAATAAATGATCCCATTTCGAATAATGTCACTTTAAATGGAAAAACTCCCTTATACATTTACCCTTCGGGGTAGGTGTGTAAAAAAGGAGGTGTGACAATGTGAATACAACAGTCTGAAAAAGCATAGACTTTAGATCCCAGTCTATAATTTTATTTGTAAGATATCCCAAAACCAGATGATGTCTTTCACCAAGTGAAATTTCATTACATTTCCTATTGTTTACCAGAAACCCCACCTTTGGAAACAGTAGCATATTTGCAGTTAACAATCGTTTCCCTTCATTCATGCAGTGATAACACTTGTATTAGGTGTTTGTCTAGATTTTCTTACATAATTGATTTTCCTATTGAAAAAATAACATATTTATCATAATTGGGTTTCCATCAATAAACCGTCTCACTCTCTCCCTCTCAGTGGGAAGTATAACCAGAGCATGGAGAGCTAAGTCAATGAACCTGGTCTCATACTGGGTGACAGTCATGGATCCCTGCTGAAGGCGCTCGAACTGCCTTTGATAGGCCTCTCGCTGAGTAATGGGGAGAAACTTCTCCAGAAATAGCTGTGTGAACTGCTCCCATGTCAAGACCGGTGATCCTGCTGGCCTAGCTAAGCAATAATCCCTCCACCAAGTCTTGGCGGATCCAGACAAGCGAAATGTAGCGAAATCAACCCCATTGGTCTCAA